GTCTAAACAGGCAAGGAGATACTAAAGTCAAATCTGAACAAAGCAGAAAATAACACTGAAACATAATGTAAAGGAGTGCTCCATAATGCTCACAATGGTTGAAGTGATTATTAAGAATTGTCTTGTGTCAATAATTCCAGAATCAATGATTTGACAATAGTTTTTATTAGGACCCATAACATGCACAAAATTATAAGCAAGCTTCCAAGTTCTTTTTACCAAGCAGATGTCAAAAACTATAAGATAGGAGCACAAATGCCCATTACAAGCCATTATATTATCAAAATGTCATTACTTCCTGAACACAAAAGATTTGATTGTGTCATTTGCATCATGTCTGATATGACCACATAAAGTCACATTCTTTTTGTAATGGCATCATGATGCAGATGCCACCATCTGCCTCTGCCACCTGCTTCTATGGGCAAGCTATGAGTGGAAACCCAAGAAAAATGATTGAAATGAGTGCCCCTAGGGTCTTAAGCCAGTACTTAAGGAGGAGGCACAAACTGAAATGGATTAAGTTCTACTAGTTACAGTTTATACATTTAGCATTGTTGGCCTCCTTCCTTGATATAAAGATTATTACCTTACCCGTTGCCTTTCTTTCAAGTTTGCTGCTAAGAATGACTGTATCCCAATGTTTTTTCTCCATTGCACCCTTTAATGTTATATCAAGTGTTTAATTTCCCTATTATGGTTTGGAAATGTCTAACATTGGCACACACAAAAACCCCAATGCAACATGTTCTTTTTCAAATACTGTTGGCATGATCCTCTTTTAGGTGTTTTTGTATTTCTTTTGTTTTCAGATTGACATGAGCATCCATTAACTTGTTCTGAACATTGGCCTATACCCTATACCTGGGTGTCAAACTCACATCGTTAGATTTTTCCCTCCGCTAAACCGGGCATGGCCAGCATGTGACGCATCTGGCCCATGGGCCGGGAGTTTGATAGCCATGCCCTATAGCATTTCCTGAAGTATATGCACTTTTCCAAATTGGATGCTGATGGCATCTATCAGCTTTTCTCCATGATTCAGTTTAAAAACTGATTTGCCATCTTTTTCATATTATGAACCAAGTGGATCCTATATTTCTCAACACATTTTAATCTCCTCTGTGTCAATCACTATCTCTTTCACATATTGAGATCTCTGAGATCCCTTAGCACTGTTGATCTAAAGAGCAGGAATCAAAATATGTCTTTGGCATCCTGGACTTCCATCTCTTTCTTAGCAATTTAAATCACATTTTCCAGGGATTCCGGTTTCCTAATGTTGTTGATATCAGTGTGAACCATGAACTCCATCTATTGCCCTACCATACCTAGCACTTTATCTAAATGGAACACAATCTCCATGTTTGTATTAGATACAAACATGGAGATTGCATAGTGATCTATGCATTATAGATCATTATGCATTCCATACATTCTTCATAGAACCACCTCTGTGTGTTGAATCACCTACTATTCAAATTATACCTCTTCCAGAGCAGTATTCTCAATATAAGAGGATCTTAAGTAACAAAAGAAGGATAAAAATCTAATAAATAAATAAAGGTGCATCACTCAAGAATAGGGTTCATTCTACTAAAATATCTTCCTTATCCCAAAACCAAAAGCTTCTAGTTCTTCCTAATAGAAAAGGAGCTGTCATTCTGGAATAGAATTAAATTATCATTCAGAGAAGATCCTACCTATAACCTCTCTAACTGATTAAACATATCAATTAGTATATTCATACTAGTTATTGTTAGTAATTATGTATTTATTTTTTAAAATAACTATTGGACCTCAAGTTCCTAAATTACACTTTTACAGTTTGGACCTGTGATTGAATAACTTTCTCAATAACTAAAATCACCTTGAATTGTAGTAAATGGATGTGAGTGAGTGTATAGCAAATAAATGCTCATTTCATTTCACTTTAGCAATTAGAATAGACATTGTTTAGGTTCAACGGGAATTATTATGTTTCTCTGAATTAAATGGTAATGGTGCAGTTAAGAGATTTTGTAGACAAAGCCTAAAAGATCTTCCTCCAAAATATGTCTCAAAATGGTTGTGAACGATAGCAATTTCCTGGGCTATGTAGCTGAAAAGGGAATAAATCAGCCTTCTCAAAGTGTTAATAATGATATCCTTCCCTTCTTGCTTTGTTTATTGATATAATGCTCAGACATTGACTACATCTATCTGTGATTGGAAGGTATGTTTGTTACCTTATATTCCCTTTCAGTATGAATTTCCGAATAACTGTTATAATATAGTACAAGAAAAAGTGTACTAAATATTGTAATGTGATATATCTTTTTTATGCATGTATCTTCCAACAATTAGCTATTTGCTTCCTAAAGGCACTGTATTCTGTTCCTCACTTATTTTTTTCTTCACCTCAAACTCTTCTGGCTTTCAATCTACATTTAATGGCCATTTACAATGATCTTCGCTGAACATTAGGTTTCCATTTCCCATTGTAGCAGTGTTATATTTATTAAATCTAGGAATTTCTGGGGCACAAAATAATCCACTCTAAAAAATTAATTTTGCTTTTAACACAAGAAGCCATGATTTATGCAGTACAATAGAGCATCAGTTTAAGGATTCAGTTTAAACAAAGATATATAAATGGCTTATCTTGACTGATTTCAAATAGTCTTGTTTTTCCTCGAGAAGAGACATTTGAAAATTGGCCAGAGATGTCTAAGCTAAACTTGCAGACCTGAATATTCACATACTAAGGCCATTCACTTTCTTTGCAAAAACCACAAAATTGCCTTAAGAAAATCAATTTGTTTCATAATTAGAAAACAAATCACATTTAGCCTACAAAGAGTACAAAGCAGAAGTGGTATTCAGCAGGTTCTAACCATTTCTGGAGAACCGGCAGCGGAAATTTTGAGTAGTTTGGAAAACCGGCAAATACCCCCTTTGACTGGAGATTTTACAGCATCCTTCCCCTGCCACGCCCACCAAGCCATGCCCACAGAACTGGTAGTAAAAAATTGAAACCCACCACTAGTATAAAGTATTACCTAACAACTCAATGTTTTTGCCAAATCAGAGCTGGCTTACTACTGTATATCTACATTTCTTACATCATTATTCTTTGTTGAAATTAATCAATCTTGATATTGTTATAAATATGGGGGGGAGAAAAAACATATACATTTTAAGTAGAAAAAACATATACATTTGTTTGTACATTCAACATATTTAATCATGCCCCCTCAAAAGAAACAGAAACAAAAACCTTCTGTATAAATGAAGACTTTCCTATTTAAGATTGTTGTTCATTGAATATATGTTTTGTGTGATGTCTTTCTGTTAGCTACTTATCTGTTTGTCTTTATTGTATTCTGTCTCTTTTTACTGTATACTCTTTTCTCCTTTGGATGTTACTATATTGAATATCTATGGTCCTGTGTAAGAGCATAACAGCAATTACACTGCCTAAATTTTCTTAGGAAGTATAATAAATATATTACCATAACAAACAGAACCACATCACATTACAGCCTAGAGTTTTTTGGATGGAGGGCTCTTCAGAATCCTTCTTCAAAATAGTCCATTCCATTCTCTACTACAAAAGTCACTCGGCCACTGAGAATACTTCATATTCACCAAGTTCTTTGGTTAAATTGTTTGATTTACATTTGCTACTTTCACGGGCATCTAATTTTGCTGATATTTTTATTTCAGTGCATAGATTTTATATACACATTGTCTACATAAGGACAATGTGTATATAAAATCTATTTCAAAGAATAGGTTTACAGTTTCAAAGAATAGGTTTACAGTTACTGCAAGATTGTAACAACTGGCAGGCTTTTTGTAAATGTGTGAATTTTTTGAAGCCGGACTGACTCAGAATTTTTTAACCGGAAGAAAAAAAGTAAGACCTGAAAACTAAGAAACCAAACTGTAGCTAATCCAAAGAATTTGAAAAATATTGTCCCTTATTCTACCAGTAGTCTAGCTATTGAAAAGTTTGTACTTACTCCTTTTTCTTTCCTTATCCTCAATTTAGACAGGGATAAGAGCAATGATGGAAGTGCAATGCACTGAAAGGAAAAATGGAAGATTATTTTCCCCTTGCTCTTCTCCATTGTTCTTTTACACTGTTTAAAATAATGAAAAGGCAGAAAGAGATACAGACATAGTTTTGCAAAGGTCATCTGCAATAGCCTCTAGGAAATTCTACATCTTCACATTCCTCTATCAACTATCATGCTGCTTGACACAAACATTAGGCAATGAAAAAATTGAGTAAAGTTTATCATCTTAGCAGGAAAACAATTTGCAGGACTCTGGAAACTATCTCTTTTAAAAATGTTTATATTTACATTGTGTTCTCATTTCTTGACATAGGTACCAGATAGACACATGTAATGGGTTGTGTTTAAGTGGATAATAGCTCATACTTTTCTGTTGAGTAAACAGTAGTTGTGTACTGGTGGTGACACATATTTTTTACCAACCCCATTTTAAACAAAGCAAGCATTTGAGGTGCATAGCATGTATATCCTAAAATGTCCTCCCTCATTAGTATATGTATCTGCACATTAGACCACTACAAATATCTCACATAAGCTCTCTGATTATTTGAAACCCTAAAAGATCCAGTAGTATATCAAGTAAATGTTGACAAGATCCTTCAGTTAGAATTCTTAAATAAAACTTTTGAGAATTGTAAAACAGAAAGAGGAAGAGACTAGAGAATGCAGGAAAATATGAAGCAGGCATGTGGTAAAGCAGCATTTTTACTGAAGTAAGAGAAGTTTAATATAGAATGTCTGCAATACCATTCTGGCTTATTGAGCAGAGAATCTGTGAGATCATTCATGCCATCTGCACTCAGCAGGGATGGGTTGCTGAGAAAAGTTAGCAAATAAAAACAATAAAGAAAGTAAATGAAAATAATATGCAGAGCGATAAAAATAGGGAAACCAGAACTCTAAACCAGTTGGATTTCAGTTACCTCCACTGGATCCTTCTATAGAGAAATATGTCCTTGTAATGGTTATATAAAATGAAATGTGAATGTGAATGTGAATCCTAGCACAGGTTGAGAAAATGCTATTTACCTAACCAAGGCTGTAATTCATGAGTATTTAAGTTATTGTCAGTGGGATTCATTGCAAAATGAGTGTAATTTTCAGTAAATGTTTCATATTCAAATATGACAGATTGATAATTGTCAGTTCACCTGAAACTCTTAAGAAATAGTTCAACATCTTGCATATGGTATTGCAAGACCTCATATTGTTAAATATTACTTTTTTCCTCCCTTATGATAGTTAAAATATGTCACTGGATGTTGTTACTGCAATAACTAGGATATTTTACTGTTAATAGTTAAAATGTATCATCTATTTTTTCATTTCCTGACTATAATCATGACGACTATATTAAGAATATAAAATAATGTCACAAAAGAATATTATTCTTAATTTTTAAAACTTGCAATTGATTCAAAGACATAAAACAGTTTTCTCTCTTTATTTTCTTACTAAATAATGAGTTTTAGGCAGATTTCCCAGTCTTCTTTTTCTCCTTGCAAATGCAGAGAATTCAACACAAGAGAGCACTGCACAATTCCTGCTGATAATGTTCAGAATGGTATCTGTAGCCGACAAGTCTTTGTGGGTAGCCATGTTGATTCATTTCATCCAGGATTTCAGCTCAGTTAGAGGCCAAATGTGTTCCTCAGTACCTGTGAAAGCTTCCCTGTTTTGACCCCCCCTCAAAAAAGGACAACACTTGAGTGATATGTATTCAGGGGTGGGATTCTACCAGTTCTGTCCAGCTCTGTAGAACCGGTTCTATGTCTGCTGCTGGTTTGGCCCACCTACCCGCTCGGGCTCTTACCTGACCTATATTTCCTGCTTTTTCAACCTCAGCTGCTTTGCGCAGCACAGCTGTGGTTGAAAAAGCAGGAAAAAAGTGCATTTTCAACTGCTGCGTACCCGCGCATAGCGCTGCTCAGCTGTCCAGGCAGCAAGCTGACGACAATTCACATGCACGAGCAGCAAATCATAAATCACAAAACCGGTAGTTACACCGGTCGGATCCCACCACCGTATGTATATACTAAATACTCCATATTTACAAAGAGTAAAAAGGGTTCCCTTTTAAAAAGTATCCTTAAACTATTGGACAGCACTGGATAACAATGAACTTCTGACACACAAATACATGGTTCTCCCATAGCCATTAGCTTATAGCCTGTTGACACAGAGGTTCATAAGTTGGTCGACTGATATTTGCTTTCCAAAGTCACTAATAAATATTTAGAAAAACCAAGATCACTGGTAAAAAAAACAACACTGGCAATTGCTTAATTTTCATTATTTAAACTTGTAAGGCTGAGGTTGTGGTGGAATGGCCTTGAGAGACAGGATGAAGAGCTGTTGAGAAGGCTGTGGGAAGATAGAACAAATCTGAATACAGGGCAGAACTACATAAATGTTTCAGACAGGCCCTGCTAGTTCACACAAAGAAAAAGGGAAGAAACAAAGAGACACATTCAGATGTGCAAAACTTATAGAAGTTATAGTAACAGTCATTGGTCTATATGACTTTGATTTCATAGTCTGCTCTATCTCGAACAGATAACATCTAACGTCTAAGTAATTTCCTAAGAATTTACATTAATAACTGAAGACTACATATATATGCATACTTGCAGTTTATCCATTTTTCTGATGTTTCTTCTTTTTTCCTTTATATCTTTATTTATTTATTTAATATATAAAATACAAAGAAAAATAGAAATAGGAAATTAAGGGAAGGAAAAGGAGTGGGGAAAAGAAGGTGAGAGGTACAAGGGAAAAAAGAAAAGCCGTTGGCTTCTGATGTTTAAATTTTAATTTCAAACATAGTGTAGGCAATCCTGTCTTCTCTTTCCTTTCAATGATTTCATGTTACTGGGATAATACTACAAATAAAAAGTACTCTTCCCCCCCCCCCCCAACCTTCCTAATGGTCCATTTTATTTAGCTAGTGGAAAGGAGGCAGAATCAAATGTACAAGAATGAAAACCCTGCTCTAAGTACTAATAAAACAAAGAACAATGATTAGTACTTTCCAGTACTAATGGAGCCTCAAAGTTTTGAATTCCTATTCATTAGGACTTTAGAAGGGTGGTTGTATTTATAGGGGGAAAAGGAATGATGGAAGGTTTGAACCCAAAACACATTATTTTTTAAAAAAATATGATGCAAACATAAGGGCTTTGTTACAGCGCACGCAACAATCAGGAACCTGTTTCCCCTTAGCAAGCTTCTAAAAAGTTTCTCCCATATAATTATTAAATGAAAACACTCACTTACCCAGTACTCAGCCTTTAAATCTCGAATAAGAGACATTCACTCAGGGAAAGGTACTTACCATGTTTCTATGGATACCAAATGATGCCAATCAGGTCCCTGTTTTCATTTCAAAGTGGTACCCTGCAGAGAAATAGAGTTTGGTGAGTAGCTGTTTATATGTAGTAAATAAATAGGAAGCTTGTTTATTTGACAAAAAGCCTGTGACCCAGACACTTTTTTTGTTAACAGCCTTCATTCTTTCTCTCCCATACCTCTTTAACACAATACAATTGGGCTGTGACATGAACCACTTTGTGCAATTCCCTGCCAAATCCAGGCTGAACAGGACTCGCTTATTGAAGAAGCAACTCAGTTGGCTAGCACTTTACCCCTGACATGACCTTTCAGAGATTGTGACAAGATATTCAGAAAAAAAAGAGATAACAGTTTCCTTTCCGGTGTTAAGTTCTCATAAGATTGGGGGAGGGTCTCAAAGAGGAGAAGGGTAGGGATGTATTCAGCAGGATGTATTCAGCAGGTCCTGACCAGTTCTGGAGAACCGGTAGTGGAAATTTTGAGTAGTTCAGAGAACCGTCAAATTCCACCTCTGGCTGGCCCCGTCCACATCTATTCTCTGCCTCCCATCTATTCTCTGCCTCCCAAGTCCCAGCTGATCGGCTGGGTCTTCTTTGGTTGCCTGCACAGGAGAACGGAGCTGGAAAGCAGGTTAGTGGGGTGTGGAAGGAATGGAGATTTACAGTATCCTTCCCCTGCCACACCTACCAAGCCATGCCACCAAGCCACGCCCACCAAGCCACGCCCACCAAGCCATGTCCACAGAACCGGCAGTAAAAAAATTTGAATCCCACCACTGGTAGGGAAAATAAATAACAATATCAAACGGGGGAGATAGAATTCAGAAGATTCATATAATTCAAAGTGAGTTTTGAAGGAATAAATGCTTCCTTGTAAATTAGCCAATATGATAATGGTCTAGTTCTCAGATTTTTTTAAAATGCTTCATGGCATAAATGCCTAGTTTTGGCATGCAACCTTTCCATAGACATATTTGGTCATTCGGAAAACACTATGACTAAATTCTCTTTGAGAAGTGTTAAGTTTATAATGTCTCTTTGAATTAAGCTGACAAGAATATAAAGGAAAGCCATCCACTTTTGTACTTAAGTAGTTTAAAATAAAAGATATCAACACATTTTCTATTTTTAAAAGTGTAGTTATTTTATTAAACAAATTAATATGGCTACCCAGCTCACACATGGTGACTCCAGGCAGCTTACAACATTAAAAATCCACAGTATAAAACCCCTGAACCCAACCCACCCCCATTTCCCACAGGGCAACAAACACAATCAAACCAGCCACTTGATCAGCTCCATATAAATCTGGGGTTCCCAGGCCTGATGATAGTTGTATTCTAGCTGCAGTTAAAAATACAAACTATGGCCTTGTTTTAAGGCTTGGAAATGAGATATTTACACTAATGTAAATAAGAACTTTTTTATTTTATATCTGCCAAAGGAGTGGTTTTGGGGTACTGCTATTGATTTGATATTTCCCAACTGAATGTACAGCATGCTTTGTGGACAGAGTAATTCTGTGTTCTTTTGCCAGAATTCACAAAGGTCTGGTTGACAGCGATACCTTTTACAGCTAAATTTACTCCAGAGTGACAAGAGCAGGTGGGCCTAAGCCTGCCAGACACTTGTGCATGGAAATCACGCATCTTACAGGTCAACAGCAAGGGGGAAAAAGCTCCTGCCTTTGGTGCAGAGGGTGAGTGAGGCAAACAGGACCCAACCTGGGGGGTTTCTCTTCAAAGCCAGCTGGTCTGGCTTTATTCTACAGGAATTTTTTACCTGTCAGTTTAATCAACAAAGCCCTCAGCAGGTGCTGACGGAGACATCTTCCTGGAGAAGAAGGGCACTGGTGAGTTTTCATAATTTCTTTTTACTAGATAAATTGATAATATTAATGCCTATTTGACGTCAGCCTGACAATTCCCTTATAAAACCATGCCTGTAACCAGAAATGGGTGAGTTTCTACAAATGTTATGTTCCAATGGAGAGGGTTGAGAAATGTGCTGTTTTCCAATAATTACTCTTGACAAGGCAAACTTGCCCAGGGAAATTCAGTGCCTGTTACTTTTTTGATGAGTAAGATCAACTTTAAAGATCAAATGGGCCAGTGAAGACAAAATGGCTGAGGACATTTATACACACTCATGCAGAATAATTCAGTTGGGGAAAAAAGGAAAGAAAAATGCATCCCTCACCTCTGAACAATACATGGCTTTTAATTTTGAAATGAATAGTGAAAGAGATAAATTACATTTCATCAGCCATGTTTTATACCTACATTAAATTTGTCTAACCTGTAAAATGCTATAGAAATTATCTTTTGAATACAGCCCCTGGAGTTAACTTACCTTAAAGAGAATATGAAAGGCAGTCAGGTACAAATTTCGCTGATTTTTACTAGAGGCAGAAGCTGGATTATGGGGAGAAAAGTGGGAATATAATAGTACTTTCATATTAGTTGCAAAGAGAATTCAATGTGCACAACTGTTTATGTCTTAACACCACCAAGCAGTTTGCAAAGGATAACATTTTAAAAGGCAATCTTATTTTAATTACAGCAAAGACGTGGGAAAAAAGATCAAATGCTAAGACATATTTGGGGAGGAGCAGAATTTTTTTTATGAGGAATGTCTATTTTCACAAGCTTGTGCTTTTAACTATGCTTCAGAGCAGTTCTTACAAACTGTCAAACAAATGGAAAGCATTTCTGTAAACAAGTAATCAAGTTTTGATTTTTTTTTAGTCCAAGACTAATATTATATACAAAATGAACATATGAAATTGCTTTTCACAACCAGATTCCATACTGACATACTGTCTGGCACACAAGTTTAAAGAGCACAGAACAACAGATAGATAAATTATGACATTAATTTGGCACATTAAATTATTCACTTAAGAAATTCAGAATTATTGTTCATGTATCAGACAACTCTTTAAAGAAGTATTGTTCAACTATTTTAAAGGCATTTCATACAGAATATATTTCCATGTTTTCCTATGCAAGATATTGCTTTCAAAAGACAAGGACAACTCTTAACTTCTCAGATTTAATTCACTTTTGGAAGCCAATCCAATGGATTTCCATGGTTCCTATTTCATGCAAAAAAATGGGTATCTTTCTTGCCATCCTTCTGACTTCTTTTTCTCATTTAAGTGAAACATAGAGAACAGCTGATTTGTCTTGATATCTGTTAAAACCATGCAGCTGCTCCAGAAGAATGCCAAGGACATTTGTAATAATATTTTAAAATTTGTGAAGTATAACGGTTGCTAATTTTAAACAATGGTACAAATTATGTTGGAGAAAAGGATAATGTAATTTATAAAGTTGGACATTCCAAGAAACTAAAGCTTTATGGGTTTATTGCAATTGCTTACATATTTCTTTCAGAATAAAAGCCAACGAACATATTGCGGACGACTGCAATGCTCTGTAAAACTCCTTAATGTACCATGTTCGTTACTAAACTGGGATAAATATATTGCCTGGAAAAAAATCCCCTATTCTGAAAAACATTTCTGTAAAGTTGTAAAGAAAGTAAAAGATGGATTAAGAGAAAAGAAATCCAGATACCATCAAACAATTTTATAATATGGTCACTAAGATATTAAGCTTTAAGTAGTTTTTTCAAAAAGTTTTAGTTTTTATGGAATATAAGAACCCAAACAGCTGCTAATATGATGCATCTTTATTAAATCTTGATAGAAATTTTCTCTTCTCTTACCAAAACAAATATTTTGTTACTCCTGAAAAACCAAATACCTTTTACGTAATAAATAAGCAAGACCATCAAAAACATACTACCAGATTTTTTTTACTTTTAATATTAAACCTAATTGTTAACTTTACACATTACTATATTACATAAAACTCTAAGAATATGACAACAAAATATTAGCAGATTAATTTAAAAAAACATATTCTAGATAAACACATCTAAATTTTAAAATATCAATACTTAAATTCATCTTAATTAATAAGATAATATTAGCATTATACTATGGCCTTTTAAGTCCTTCCTTAAATAACATGTTTAGCAGAAAATGGAACTTAAATTTTATCTGAATGCATGTGGAATTGTAGAACCTTAATAATGGCAAATTTTCTCAGAGGACATATTCAGGTCCCATTCCATAAGGCAATATAGTCTGCAGTTAAAACTCTGGCAGTAAGCATATTTATTTCTTTGTAACACACTGCTCATTATCCTACAGTGAGTAAATACAAGACGTTACAGAATAGGAATTCTTTGGGGCAAAGATATCTTGTGCCTGTCCTATTAATCTCAATGGAATATTCATTCGGCTATTTCTTAAAGCAGACCAATTTAAATATTAAAAAAATACACATGATAACTTTTTTATATATAAAAATAGTTCTTTGAGCTTTCCAGATATGACTGTAGAATTTTTATCATCCGTTTCTATAGTTTTAAGATACATGATGAATGGTAATTTAGTTGAGTTTTCTACTACATGTTTTTCTTTAACCCTAAATGGTAACAATTGTCCAGGGTTGGGTATTCTAGAGAGCATGTACATATGGCCCTTAACTGCATTTGAAATTGACTGGATACACACATATGCAATTCTTTGTTCTAAATATAGTAAGGCAAGAAGATGTCATATGATTTTGAAACAATGAATTCTTCCTTTCCTTCCTTTTTCCTATTCTGTGCAAAAAGCAGAATAGCTTTACTTAATTAAATGAAGTTACACTTTCTAAAATTGCTAAGAGAATTTCTCTCTCTTGCTTAATTCTGTTTTCTGCAACAAATTATTTTCAAAATCTCATTTATATACAAAAAGGATCAGACTTTAGAGAAAAATTATAAATAAATATGCAATACATCTGTAACTTTGCTGCTCTTGCTCATTTAGTTTACAACAATAAAAGTAACAGTCTATGCAGAAAGAATCCACAATTGTTCATATTTTAGAAGATTATTTGAAGAGACTGTCTAGGGAATTAATCACTCCATAAAGAATTATTAAAATGGTTTACACTTGAACCAATATTTTTCCTTCTTGCTTTCCTTTTCTTAACTTTCCTTTTCTTGTACTCTTTTAAAAAGAGTACAAATTCCCTGTATGCTCCAGAATCAGTTCCATACAAGTTTTTAAAATGAAGAAAATGGCAGTTTTCCTGCATCATGTGTCATTTAAAACAGCTAATCATTGGGGGGGGGAGGAATCCATATTATGAGAATATTTTTATTATGTCAATGATTAGCTCTACAAAATGTACAAGTTTAACTCTCTCATCCTCAATCAATCACATAATTTTAATAATAACCATGGGGCATAGTTTTATTTTATTCTAAGCATGGTAACGGATTATGTATACTTTTTGAATTTCAGCCATGGACATTTTTTTATGATTCTGCAGCACAGGAAACTTTGAAAATGTCCCAAGTCATCTGAAAATATACAAACATTTGTCCAGATAAAATAATGAAGCTTAAAACAACTACAAACCAAACTATTCTGTAGCATATCACTAACATTATCTTAACCATTCTTCTGGAACTATTTTCCCTAATGAATAGAGCTTAGGAGAAAAATACACAGGACTCAAACTGATGCCCTCTGTCTCTTGCTTACCCAAAAGAAGTAAAGGGAGAAGTAAAGATAGTGGGAAATGCAGAAAGCAAAATAAAAGTGATGGAGAATGTCAGACAAGGAGAGGGAAACCACATCTCACTGGAGTCAACACCTCCTATTTATTTCAATCCTGTGCCTGTGAATCACATTCACAGCATTTTCTGAGTTTATTTAATGATTAAACCAATTATTTACATAAGGAACCATATGTACATGCTGTGGTTATTTCTATTTATGAAAAGGCAATATTTATTTGGGATACAAGGGCTCCAATCCTGAATACTCCAGTCTGGGAATAAGTACCATTCAGTACAATGGAAATTACTTCTGAGTAATTCTGAGATGCATAGAGCTACAGTGAAATTGCTATTTTTATCTATTATATTTCTAATATAATTATTGGTTGTTAATTTGCTTGACTCCTCATAGTCCTGAAAAACAACTGACAGTTGTACAACTTGTGAAGAATGCAGGTTTCGGTTTATTTGTATTCAAGCAAGCAAGACATTACAGAGCAAATCTTATTGAGAAGTAAATCCCATTAAATTACCTCCTGAATGATACAAGATTGTACTATCCACTGATCCACTCACAAGTAATATCAAAGTTGAACCCCAGTCCTGATGATTACATGAAAAATAATACAAATAATAATAATTAAAAATACTGCATGACTAACCAAATGCAGTTAAAGTCTAAGCTAATGAAATTGTATATTAAAATACAATTCTGATATGTGGCCTTTATGTTGTGGATGGTATGGTGGGGTGCTTTTCTCTTTGTATTTTTTTAATGCTTTCTAATTTACCATGTCACATATTTAAATTTAGGCATTAAAATGCTGTCGTGGGAAATACAAGGTTAAAGGAAGGCATTATGTCTGGGTTCCTTACTGGCTTAGCATTTGGAATCACAGTAGCACAGCTGAAGTATGATTCTATTCCTGGCAAGTCAGCAAATGCAGGCTTGTTTTACCCTGCTTGACAGAAAAGTCCCCAATTCCCTCCCACCCTTTTATATATGAGCTAGCACACATTTTCCTGCTGCCTCTACAATTTTTCTGCCCATAGAATACTGAAAGTCCTTTTCCTACATAACTGGTAGGAATTTTGGGCATTTACATTCTAATGTATCACAACTGTTTGAACATGTAGCTTAACCTGTTGCATTGCTGCAATTTTCTTCCAGTATCTATCTACAGTTGGTTCTCCTTCTTCCGGGCCCTGCACTGTTACTGAAGG